TCTTGCCTCTCCAAATAAATTTGATAATTTCCCTTTCAATCTCCTTGAAAAATGAATTTTGTATCTATATTGAGATTATGTTGAACATGTAGATTGGTTTTGGTAAGATTGTCATTTTCACAATATTGAGTCTACCTAGCCATGAACAGGGTACATTTTCCCGTTTCTTTAGGTCTTTTATTGGTCTTGAAGAAATGCTCTGTAGTCTTCTTTATATAGGGCTTTTGTTGTACTGAGTGCTTTTGAAGAAAGCTACTGAGTTTCCCTTTGGTCCTTGAGAGCATTTAAATAGTTGAAATTAAAACATTGATATTAGAATTTTAAATACAGTTATTGAATTCCAGGTTAACAACGTTGAATCTAGAAAACAGTAGCTCACTAAGTTTTAGGTTAGAAACATAGATCATTTCATTTTATTTGCTTCCCTTTCCTTAGATCAACTCCATGAAAAATGCAAAGAAATTAGCCAATTTCTGACTGAACCAACTTTGCAAAAACGTGAGATAGAGTCTCAGACTTCTTTTCCAGATGTCTATAATGAGGAAATACAGGTATGTACTATGAATTTTATACTTTGCTTTCTCTATCTGTACTTAGGTTTGCTAATGAAAATTTGTTCCAGGAAGCAGGGTAAGCTTTTTTTCTTTCCTGCCCAAAGAAAAGTTTTAAGATAGCATTATAATTTAAAAATTATACATAAAAGTATTTTAATGTAGTAATTAAGCAAACAATAATGAGATGATAATAAGCTCCTTGATCTTGGAAGCCTTTCTGATTTTTAGTTGTTAGGAATCTGTATTGGAGATGGATCATTGCTTTTACCTTATAATAAATTTTCCCAGTTCAAAAGACAGTTTTGATTTTGGTAGAGTCGTACTTGATTAGGCTTAGTATTCACAACTGACTCTAACTAAATGCAATAATCTGCTATAGAAATTATAATGCTCCCATTTTCTTAATTGCCAGTAAAAAAAGTTAAGTGACTATTTTATTATTATCTATTAATTTGGCTAGCCACTCAATAGTTAAATCTCAAGTTAGGTGGCTCTTCTTTCAAGAAAGCTTCTTTTTTAAAAAAAATTATTGGGCTTTTAAAATTTTTTATAAAATTCGAATACATTATTTTTCACACAAGATCTTTCCATTTCCTTCACCTCTTCCATCCATCAAGTTGTGAGACCCTATGTTTAACAGTTCCCTCAAGCCATCCTCAACCCTCTGCTTCTACCCAACCCACCCTGGATCATCATACTCAGTCTACAGTAGTTTTATATATTAGTCCTTATGGAACTGAGTTAGTTCACTCAGC